TGGGAATTAATCAAACGAGAGCTGTCTACACCAAAATAAGTCTAAAATATTTGTCCGCACACTTATTCTCTCAATTTAACAACTTGTAATTGTGGGAATTAATCAAACAAGAGCTGTCTACACCAAAATAAGTCTAAAATATTTGTCCGCACACTTATTCTCTCAATTTAACAACTTGTAATGGTGTAAAATAATTAAACGAGAGCTGTCTACACCAAAATAAGTATTAAATATTTGTTCGCACATTCATTCTCTCAATTTAACAACTTGTAATTGTGGGAATTAATCAAATGAGAGCTGTCTACACCAAAATAAGTCTAAAATATTTGTCCGCACACTTATTCTCTCAATTTAACAACTTGTAATTGTGGGAATTAATCAAACGAGAGCTGTCTACACCAAAATAAGTCTAAAATATTTGTCCGCACATTTCTTCTTTTAATTTAACAGCCTGTAATTGTGGGAATTAATCAAACGTGAGTTGTTTACACCAAACTAAGTAAGTAATGGTGTAAAATAATTAAACGAATTGTCTACACCAAAATTAATCTCAAATATTTGTCCACACATTTATTGTCACAATTTAACCACTTGTTAATAGTGGAAATTACTTAAACGCGACTTGTTTAATCAGTTGACATAAATGCAACTTACCCGAAGACAGTGCACAACAGAGTATCATTATTGAGCAAATATAAACAGGAACGTGTTTTGGCATTAGGGTTAGGGTCGGGTCAGGTATGGGCAACGGAAATATTAACAGGAACGTGTCTTGGCATTAGGGTTAGGGTCGGGTCAGGTATGGGCAACGCAAATGGCAAACACCCAATTGGCAAGATGTACACTAACGGGTTATGGCATGCATATAGTTTACACAAGTAAAAACACAAAATTGGCAATTTTGTGGACAATTGTAACTCAATACACACTATATAATCTTATCAAATGCAAGCACATCCAGTTAATCCATTGTGGTCTTGTGGTTCAGTTGTCTACACAGTGATCAGGAGGACCTGGGTTCAATTCTTATGCCTGCCTTTTCTCGCAAACACTAATTTGCAATAAAGCTAAATATGAAAACAAATCATTCATTTGCATGACTACCCATATGGTTCAGTGGATATGTACAATGTAGGCAATGTGAGAGATCGCTGGTTCGAATCCAGTACGGTTAGTACGACACTCGTGGTACAGTGGACAAGACAGTGCGCTGGGAACTCAAAGATTGCAAGTTCGAATCGTGGACAGGACACTCCTACCGGACAAGATATGGAAGAAAGAAAAAAACATGAATAGCAACTTCTGTATATCAAGAACTCAAGTCAGAAAAACAGAACACAAGAAACTACCTCACATGGAAGCCAGTCGAAGTACGAACACAGTTGACAGCTGCAGGTCACATGCAACAACAGAGACGAGGATCAATGCTGCTCTCCAAATGGGTCCTTTCTTTGTATTGACCCCCTAAGGATTGCTAGTCCCCCTTTCTAACTCCTCCCCCAAAAATAATATATCTCCCCTTTTAGAATGTATTGATCCACAAATTAATGAATATTCATGAGCACAGAAACTGCTACGTCATGAATAAATTAGCATAATTTAAAAAAAATTGCATAAAGTCTAGGTACTCCTTCTGGAGTCCTGCCCAATTTAGCCATGGTTTCACAAAAGTGGGTGTGGTTTCTAAAATATGGGCAATTCAGCATTTCTTTTTGATCTGATAGGTCAGGAATGCCATTAACCAATCAAAATACAGTGTGGCAATCCGAATATTTACAATCATATAATGCATTGCGAAAGTAAAATTCATTATTATTGAAGTTTTAGTATGATATGTTGATGTTGATTTCATTAAAACATTTCAAAAGGTAATAAAATAAGTTTACGGAAACAGCTTTTATGATGATATTGTATCTTACCCATTTACACAATAAATTTGCAATTATTTTTAACGGCAATAAAACTTCGTATTTTTGCGGCTATGAAACATCACAAGTAATGATGGCAATGTTGTTTTTCTGAAATCAAAAGTTGCACCATGTATAGCCTCTAATGTATTTTGTAATCACTGAGTTTAAATTAAAATTTAACCAGTTCAAAATTGGATATGTGCTTTAAAAAGCATTAATGGTATACTTTTATCTCAGTTGCGAATAACAATGAAATCAGAATTCATTTAGCAGATTAAAATTGAACTATATTGAATTATACCTAATATTGCTGACTGTATGTAGTCTTTATTTAATTCAATTTCATTTCTGAATTTTAATTATCCAGATGATTTTGAAAAAGCTGGTTCTTCATCTAATCAATCCAATAAGCGAAGAAGATCAGATGAACAGCCATCTTCTCATCTTTCTTGCAAGAAGTCCAGAACAGAAGATGAGTCACCTCAATCGAAGAAGTCCAAAACACAGTCCAGCACATCAGAAAAGATGTCACCGTATGAAAATTACATTGAAGCTGCACCTTTGAATTTTTTTTTAACAAAAGTGTTTGGTATTCCCAATCACTATAATAGTTCACTTGCTGTAGGTATAAAAGGTAATGTTATAGTCTTACAAATGACCTATCTCAAAATTCTACAATTTACTCTTGTAAATTCTAAGGACCAGATAATATGGGCAAAAAAAAAAACTGTTGGAAACAATGGATTTTGCATGTGTTGTACACGTCACATGGAAACCAATTATCCACCTAGTGTGATGACTCATTTATTTTTAGCTCCGCTGTCGACTTTGTCGAGCGGAGCTTATCATATGAGTGATTGTCCGTCGTCGTCCGTGTCAATGTTTTGCTTTTTCGACTTCTTCTTGAAAACTACAAGCCTGAATGCTTTGATACTTGGTGTATATGTACCTTGGGTAGAACTCTCTCAGATTTGTTCATTTCATGTTGATATCTTCAATTCTCTAATTTTGGTGAATATTTTTGTCATTTTTGGTAAAAAGTGATATTTTCGACTTAAAAACCACAAGTCCAATTGTTTTGATATTTCATATGTAGGTACTATATACCTCTCTCAGATTTGTTCATTTTGTAATGATATCTTCAATTCTCTAATTTTGGTGAATATGTTTGTCATTTTTGGTAAAAAGTGATATTTTCGACTTAAAAACCGCAAGTCCAATTGTTTTGATATTACATATATAGGTACTATATACCTCTCTCAGATTTGTTCATTTTGTAATGATATCTTTAATTCTCTAATTTTGGTGAATATTTTTGTCATTTTTGGTAAAAAGTAATATTTTCGACTTCTTGTTAAAAACCACAAGTCCAATTGCTTTGATATTGCATATATAGGTACTACATGTGGACCTCTTTCAGATTTGTTCAATTTGTAATGATATCTTTAATTCTCTAAATTTGGTGAATATTTTGGTCATTTTTGGTAAAAAGTAATATTTTCGACTTCTTGCTAAAAACCGCAAGTCCAATTGCTTTGATATTGCATATATAGGTACTACATGTGGACCTCTTTCAGATTTGTTAATTTCGTGTTGATATTTTCAATTATCTAATTTTGATGGTTATTTTTGTCATTGTTGGTGGAAATTGATATTTTTGACTTCTTGTTGAAAACAGCAAGTCCCATTGCTTTGATACTATACATATTGTTCATTTTCTAATGATATCTTCTGTTCTTTAATTGAAATGTGCATTGCTAACAGCGGAGCTATCTCAGCCGACCGGCTGCTTGTTATATATTATTTTTCTAGATATTTTATCAGCATCCATGGGTAACCTTATCTCTTCTGCTCAGTTTAATTACATGTTTGATATTCCTTGGCTTGTACAGCAATATCCAGAACAGTTCAGGTTTGTATTTCAGAAACGTATCAATTCAATTAATGGTCCTCATGAATTATTATGAAAATAAATTTGTTTTGTCACTTTTCACAAAATTTACAATTCAAAATTTTTCAGAATTTGTTTCGAAACATTTTTCTGTGAAGACCTGTTGCTGATAAGAAATGATGTACTTCATCATGTACTTCTAGAAAACATTTCCATAATATTTACTTGTGACCTTTGAACTTTTACCTGCCAACCCTTATGAGGCTTGTTTATTTCAAGTATGGCTACTGCCAGAAATAATTAATAATTTGTGTAGCTTCCTTATGAAAAATTGTATGACTTATACATGAAAAATAAAACAAAAACATATATACCCCTGGTACTTCTTGCATATTAAGTCAACAATAATAGTGGCCAGGACGTTTCCTTTAATGTTATACACCTGTCATAAGCCAGTCTTCCAAGGATGTGATATCCCTGTATTGATGTAATCTGATTATGATTCTCTGATTGTATGTGGATCTGCTCTGCACACTAGCAGAGCAAAAGGAATCAGTAAACTAGATGACAAAACTGAAATTCACACTTCTATTACATCCTATTTACATAGCATTCACTTGATGTTTTTTGTGTCTTGTGTGACAGATCTAAACCACTGCTTATTATACATGGATCTCAAAGAGCTGATAAAACAACATTACATGAGAATGCACATAGATATCCTAATATTACATTGTGTCAAGCAAAGCTGGATATAATGTATGGAACACATCACAGGTAACCCCTTGAACAGTAAAGTTGACCTCTGTCACCTTTCTCTATCTCAGTTGAACTATGCCCTCTAAGGCAATATTCACTTTGACTTTGTCTTTACAATATTACTATTTAAAATGACTGCCATAATCCTTCTCATAACAGTTTTCTATTATTAAATACTAAATTTAGATATATTTCAAGCTTATTATAGATTCCTGTGTGTATGTTTCACCATGTGCTACCAATATCTGCTTTTTTCAGTAAAATGATGTTTTTACTTTACGACAATGGTATGAGAGTCGTCATTCATACTGCTAATATAATTCATAATGATTGGTATCAGAAAACACAGGGGTGAGTCTTTTATTTGTTCAGCTATTATCCGTTAACTCTAATTTCTAATTATATTAGATATATGGTACTACTTTTTCTCAGAAAATTTCATTGTATAATGTTGGCTTGGTCATGAAGTTCCACTTGAACAAGGCTTTCCTACCTGTAACCCTGGGTCCACGATGTTGTCATTCAGCTGCTGGCTGGCAACTCAAACATCACCATGGATATAGCAAAACGGGGTGGATGAGTAAGACAGAACATGTGTGTACACCAGCAATAAATTGATTGCCTGAACTCAACAATTTGAGCAAATTGCATCAAATTCAAACTTTGTATGGATTTCCACAGATTAATATAAGTTCAATTACTCGTTCATGTTTTGCTCATCGGCTTGATCAAAAACAGTGTGCATCAATTTGCTGCACATCCACCTCATTTTGCTACATCAGGATTCATGTCCATGTTTGAGTGAACAGCCAGCGACCAAATGTATATAACGCCCATTATGACAACGCCGTGGATCCGGCAATATCCTACATGCAGCTACTGTATATGACTGCTGTGTGTGTAACTGTGTTTGTATTAAATTCCATATTAATTGTATTTTTGTTTTGTTCGTTTGTAGAGTATGGATTAGTCCACTATTTCCCAAGCTTGCCAGTGATCAAGATCTCTCGCAGGGTGATTCAGTAACCCAGTTCAGAAAAGATTTGTTAGAATATCTTGGTGCGTATGGTACAAATAAACATCTACAGGAATGGCAGGAAACTATTCGTCAACATGACATGTCATCTGCAAAGTAAGCACAAACATTAATCTGTGGTGTTTATTGTAATGAATTAATTCTTTAAGTCCCTCTATAGAATAGAACAGGACATACCTGTCAGTAAACTGCTGAATAGAAATTTGGAAATATTGATGGCATTTTCATATTATTATACTGTAAATAATTTAGGTAAATTTTACAGAAAGGTAATTTCCCAAGATGCAACACTGTTAATCTAACCATAAATGATGTGTGTGTTTGATGTTGCAGGGTGTTCATCATAGGATCCGTTCCAGGAAGACACACTGGCGCTAGTAAAATGAAATGGGGACATCTAAAATTACGAAAGGTAAATCTGTGTCATAAGTTACATACTGTGAAAGTAGTGATATTCATGCAAGGTAGATCCACTGTAGTTATCTGATCCACACATGGTTTTAATATTTCATCTCATAGAACCACTTAACTGTGTAGTGATGTATAACAATTATGAAATAGGTTTTATGTATCACCACTAAGGGTCATTCATCCTGGTACTTTTTGGATAGCATTCACTATCATCGAGAACTTTCTTAATTATTTTTCTGCTAAAAATGTAAGCAGTAAGTTGTGAAGGTTCAAAGATAAACACTTCATAATCTCATAGTTTTTATAAGCCTAAAATACATTATTATACATCTGTCACCGTAACGCCATAAGTTACAGCGTATCGTACTTTCGCTGTATTTTCATTCTACCATATAAGGAAATAACCTCATATTATTATCAAATGTTTATGAATCACATGTAGTATCTTTGAACTGATGATCTGGAGATCAATTTAGTAATTATGCAAATGCAGTAATTTATATTCCTACAAAACATGTTTTTTTAAACACTTTTTCAGGTTCTTCAAGAACATGGTCCTGATGGATCAACAGTCAAAGATTGGCCAGTGATTGGACAATTTTCAAGTGTGGGCTCCTTAGGAAGTGGTCCTGAGAATTGGCTTTCTTCAGAATGGCTCGAAAGTTTATCTACCGTACAGGCAAATGGTATAGTTAAATTGTCAAAACCAAAACTAAACTTGGTAAGAATATTGTTGAATTCAAAAAGAATACCAAATCACTTTAATATAAAACAGAATTTGTATCTATTTTCATCAAAGCAATCTATTTCATATATGAATATCCTGTTTATAATAAGCCTAATAATAAATAAAGTAAAGTTATTCTTCTTTTTAGATATTTCCATGTGTTGAAAATGTACGCAGAAGTTTAGAAGGGTATCCCGCTGGTGCGTCACTACCGTACAGTATAAAAAATGCCAGGAAACAACAATATTTTAATACTTTCTTACAGTAAGCCAGTCTTCATTGTCATTTTTTTGACCCTCTTTTTCCATAGCGTAAATTTATGATGAATAATTTCAAAATTTGTTGATACAATGTACAGATTGAATGACAGTGGTTGCCACAAAGCATCAATCCATATAATACCGGTATTTAAATTCATTATATTGGTAATTAAAGTGCAATCAAGGATTTCAAGTTTATTTAAATACAGTCTGTGTTTGCTGAAACAGAATTTAAAAACTTGAGGACAATTACTTCATTGTATGTGTTCATCTTTCGCTGAATGAGATAAAAATGGACATTTTGAAAAAAAAAAAATTTTTCTGTCTCCTATGTTTTCATGACATACAGCATACTCGTATAGAATATATGAATAACAAAGCAATATAGCAAAACATTGTATTCAGTTTAAAAAAAAAATCAAAATAAAACAATGATTTATGACAGATGTGAAAAAAACGAAAAAAAACAACCTGTGCACACATCAGGTTTAAAGAACAAATTGTTTACTATTTATTTCTTGGTCTTAGCTGGACATCATCTGTTTTGTTTACAGCCAGTGGAGGGCATTTAGTAGAGGTCGCAGTCGCGCATCTCCTCATATCAAGACATATACACGGATATCGCCCGATGCACAATATTTAGCGTGGTTCATTGTTACCAGGTATAGTGATATATCATGACATGTTCTTGAGATGAAAAGCAATGCTGTGTTGCAAATAGATGGCTAAGAACTCAAAGATTTATTCACTTCGCTCTCACAAATTACATCGAGCAATATTCATTACTGCTTCTTTAAATCAATTACAAGAAAACTGAATTTCTTTGAATTCTCATCAAATTCAGTGCAAATTTATCAAAAGCAGCATGGGGTGCGTACGAAAAGAATAATTCACAGTTATTTATCCGATCGTATGAAATTGGTGTCCTGTTTGTACCTTCTAAAGTGGTAAGTAATACGCAATGATTTTTTGTGCTTCTACATTTGTCTGAAACCTTATTTTCTTTGTACATTGTGCATTGATTCACATCACGTTGTATACAAGATTTGATTCAAAATGGCCGACTGGTGACCATTTTGTTTTCAAAAATGTGGCCTTCTATATAACATGCCAATGCCAATCTTTTACCATATAAAGTACATGTACAGTATGGCTTCTCAGATATTGTAAACTAAAATAAACTTTCCACCCTGCCAATGTTAAACTTTCCACTCATTGTGTGGTATATTCAATTTGATTTTATGCAGCCAAGAACATTCCAGTTTATGAGATTTCATTGACGATGTTGTCGTTTTTCGGAGTGCAGACGAATCTTATAGCAAATGTTCTGTAGTCTATTTTACAGTCATGAAGCGGAGAAAAAGCTGTGGTAGTCATTACATCACTGCATCTATTATGTATCTTCCATACTTCATTATACATTTCATTTCACTCTTAAATTCTCATCGCATATAACACCCTTGCATACCCTAGATGCTAACTATAGAGGGTGCTAGACCACAATTTTGTTTCCATGCTATATACCGGTAATCATGGTTTAACTCTTTTGTTATACATCTAGGTCTGTAACTTATAGCACTGGGCAATACAATAATTTTTGTTTTTTGTACTTATGTTATCGTACTGTTTGACCCTTGACCTCTCTACCTGATCAATGCAAATACAAACCAAATAATCACGAGACATATATGCACAACGATGTATATTCCGGTATTTTGTAAATAGCCTGATATTAGTTGTGGTGTATCCTGGAGGTGTAATATAAGTATATAATAATAATAATAATTTTATTCAACACGAAAATCTACTACAGAGAGTAATTTTATGGTTGTAAAACAAGAACAGAAATAATACTTCACACAACTAATGTAATGTATATAACACCAGTTATTGATTTTCTTGAAGGAAGAAAACCTGAAATTATTCAATGTTCAAGGAGTTGACAGTTCAAAGGATTCCATGTTATTTCCATTACCATGGGATGTACCACTCACTTCTTATACCCAGACGGGTAAGTTCAGTTTGGAGTGGTCTGCTCATGTCCAGACTTTTATATTCAACTAAAAATGTCATTTAGCTACACAATAGGTGATTCCTTTTACATGTATGTGTAAAAGACACAAACCAATGATCTGCTGTAAAAATTGAATGATTTAATTTTGAACTTTTTTTTTTTATGGTTCAATGTCAGAATGTCAAGGAATATGGCATTGAAATATATTTATTTTAGCAAAATTGTCCATCATCAAATATGTATAGCATATTATTAGGCTTAGAAATAACTAAACAATACTTTCACATGTTTTGATGCCCCTATGATGCTGTGTACATTGTTCTGTGAATGGGAATTGTCTATTTTACTAATATCCTGTATTTTTCAGATCGTCCATGGTTATGGGATATTGCTTATACTGATAAGCCAGATAGCCAAGGCAACATGTGGTGTCCATCTTGATTAAGCTCAATTAACCAAATTTATTCAGTTGGTTATTTTTTTCTCTGCTGATATTGCAAGGATGTATATCAAAACTGCAAAAATAAAAGTTTAATGAATTTAATTTGTTCATCTGTGTCCTGATATTTATTTTATCTTCTCTCTCACTGATGTCTATTTCAAGACATCATATTACAGAAAACCTGGGTAATGGTAGAGGGGTTAGTATGTTTACTTCACATCTGGGTGATTCGAGTTTTAATTTCCACAGCAACTGTTACGCTGCTGGGACAGATAAATACAATATATAGTAGATAATATTTGGTAATCATTGTCCTAGGTAACTATTCAAATAGCTAGACGTTTCGAGTAATGTACTACGTTCATGTTAAGGGTTCTCGGCACGTGCTGAAATTGTTAATCCTTTGTGTTTGCAGAAGGATTACAGCACATTATTTGGGACCCACTTTGGACCGACTCGGCTCGTGCCGAAATCACGTCCTCATTCGTCGATCTGTAAATGTCTCATTTTCTGCAATTATTTCTATGTCTAAGAAATGTTTTATTTTAGTCAAATTGTCACATACATACTGACATTTAGACATGCTGGTCACAGAAAAAATTGAACTTTAATATTTTCTAGTGATGAGTTTCTAAGTTTGAAAGTAATCAAATAAAATGTGTAACCACAAGAAAAAGACACTTGAGTTACTTTCTCACCAATATCATCATATCATCTTGGCCAAGACCCTGCATACAACAGGTTATTAGTCCCCGTTCGGACGCAGTCCGAAAACGGGGACTTATGTTTTGCCCTGTGTGCGTCCGTCCGGCCGTGCGTCCGTGCGTCCGTGATCACCTGTATCTCGAACATGCATGGACCGATTAAGTTCAAACTTCACTCATACATCACACATTATATGGGACATATGCACATGCATTTTTTTCATGATCCGATTAACGATAGCCGAATAGCGGCTATTTTAAGGCCGAAAATGCATCAAAATCGCACATTTTCACCATTCCGGACCCGGATCTCAGTTATGCATGGACGGATTTTGTTCAAATTTGGTACATACATTAAACATAATAGGACCTTGATGCACGTCATTTTTTTTTTTGGATCGGGTTCGAAATGGCCGACTGGCGGCCATTTTGTTTTAAAGAATTCAGTTCTGGATCCGTATCTGAGACATGCTTGGATTGATCGAGTTCAAACTTCACACACACAAGGTACATCATGTCACAAATATGTATGTGCATTTGTTTCATGATCTCATTAACGATAGCCAAATGGCGGCCGCTTTAAGGCCGAAAATGCATTGAAATCGCACATTTTCACCATTCCGGACCCGGATCTCAGTTATGCATGGACGGA